CTTTTATTAGAATAGAGAAATAACATGTAAGAACAATATGTGAATAGTCAGTGATACCTTTTAATATTTGTGATTTATTCTGATCAGTCTTAGAAAGCTTTGCATTCTAACTGGCTTTCATCGTTGCATGACAACCAGAGCGGGGATTACATTCAGGTGTCTGATAACACAGCCGATGCAAAAATAAATACAGTAGTGCGCACAAAGCTGACAAATAACCTTGTTTTCTCACACTGACGGGTTGGTCTGCTTCCAAAGGTCAGCTTTTATACAATCGCACAATCTTTTGGATGTGTAGACCTGCAGCGAAAACATAAAAAGAGAAAGCTTTTCTAAACCATCTGACACCAAGCGATTTATATCAGCCTGGCTTACTCTACTTTTGGATATATATTGTTTTAGAGACAAATACAATGTGTGCATTATAGCAATTTTACAGGATGCACAGAAAATGGAGGCAAAAACCTCTTCAATCAGTTGATTCTGATCCTTATACACATTGGGTGTATTTATTTATTTATTGGAAGAAGAAGAATTGCTCATCTGGTGCTGCCCAAATTAAGCATCGCTCCGGCCTTGTTACCCAACTTGAATTGCAAATGTCTTATTTACACTGTCGTTTAGAGCTAAAATTAGCATTTCCTCCTATTTATGCCGGCAACTTTCTCAGATTTTCTTCAAAAAGGGATTCCGCTCAGCTGCCATGGGAAAACAGCCATTAATTAAATAAGAAAATAGGCTGTGCTGCAACTCTGATGCAATGAATCAGTAATGTCATGGCTGTCATCATAATGTACTGGGTTCAGAAGGAGTGGATGCAAAGAGAATTTTCACATTTTTACACATGCTGTCACAAAATACACACACTTTGAATTAGTAAACCTGCAAAAACACAACGTATATTATTGATGTGAAGGTTCACAATAAGAATCCTGCAGCCTTAAATCGAATTCCATGTTTTAATGTACAACAAGCGATGCATTAAATACGTTTTAGCATGATTTAATAGAATTAGCATTTCACAAGATTCATCTTTTCTACCCCCTAATTGGTTTGCACAGTACATGCATGCTGTGCATACTCATTAAAGTCCTAATCAGTTTTTATCTGCAAAACTACAAAAGAGGAGCAGTGTGCTCTGACCAACATCACCTGCCTGGCTGAGGGGTTGTCGGTGCAGCCAGCTCTCTGAAGCAGCGTGCTTCTGCTTGCGATCGTTCAGTCAAGTTGCCCAGAAACATTGAATACCGTACCGGAAGTTGAGATAGTTTCATGTCAAAATAAGTGCACAGACCCTTGCCTTTTTCCATCAAGCATGTTTCATGCAACAGAAACGTATTAGGTTCTATCTGCAAACAAACAAACACAAAGAATATAGATTTATTGAGATTTGATGTATTTTCCAGAGTCATTAATGTGTGCATTTGTGTTGAATTTTCTAGGTGAAGCATGAGAGGAAAGTTGCACACCTGTTCACCATTTACCTTCTAAATAAAACTGACAACTGAAGTTTTAAGAAGTAACAAAGGCATGTGACAGAAAAGCTCAACATTTTCTTTACAGTTTCCAAGGGTTATATTTTGTGTGATGTATACATACTGTACTGAAAAAATGATAAATGGAGTTCTGTTTTAGGATTTTCCCAAATGT